CACATACTCAAACACATCTACTTGCCGAAAATTGCTTTCAAGGGGTTCAATGTTGTGAACCTCTCTCTCTCTCTCTCTCCCTGAAGCTTGCTTTCAAGGGGTTCAATGTTGTGGAACCTGTTTGACAACTACTTGGCTGTTTGGTTTATAAAGTTGCTTCAAAGGTCTAATAATTTATTTTGACTGTTTTGTTGTTTTCTGTTCACATTTTGATATAATAATATTTTATTCATTCAGGAGAAAGTTACAAAGCAATCCCTTCTTGAGTTGGCTTTAAGCGAACAGCTCAAAGAGCGGCAGGAAATGGAAAGGAAGCTGCAGAAAATGGCTAAAACTATGGACCATATGGAAAGGGCAAAGAGGGAAGAAGAGGTCCCACTAGTTTTGGCTGCATATCAACAACGTTTGGTGGATGACAAGATTCTCTTTGAGGACGAGCAAAAGGTTTGCTTCAGACACTCCTTGTGTTCAGTTTGATTGGTCATAACATTCTATAGTCATGCATTGCTAATTTGTTGATTCATTAGTCATGCATTGCGAATTTGTTCTCCTTGGATGCTTCACTTAGTTAAAAAATGGAACTATGTTATTTGTATTTGGTTTGGAAATATTTATTTATTATTTATGTCTATAATTTGTGAAAAAATATTCTTTTTACTATACATGTGTGGACATTTTCCTTTTTGCAGCAAGCGACTGAGCAGAGTAGGCAGCAACATGATGGAGACCTCCAGCACAAAGCCAAACTCTTGCGCATGCTGGATGACAAGGTTTGTATTATTGGGCATTAATTATAAAAAATGTTTTATATTACATTCACATGGATATGTGTTCTGTTTGTAATAATATTTTCAATCAAACAATACTTAATTCACAGTTGTTATTGGCTGCTGAAATGCACTAGTTGATTGCTTGGACTGAGATGTTTATAGAAAGGTTCATTTTTCATGTTTTTGTTATCATATGGTGCAACAATTAACATGTGATTGTTGGGAACCCACAGTTTAGCATGGAATGAGATATCTGGGTGCACACTGTAATATTCTTTTTAGTAGCTCTCGTCTTGATATAAACATTAGAGTACCTCGTTCTTTTTCCTTTATATTTTGAATCCTTATTTGAATCACTGTTCGGAAATCGGGTACCACTACCTGGCCATCACATGCTTTTCGACAATTATGTATATTTAAGTAGGAATTTAGTCCATTTGCAAAAGAAGTACGAGAGAAATGAAGAACGCCCCAAGTAGAATGGATAGAAATCTTCAGAACTCTTCTTTTTATGAGTCTTACTTTCCTCCAATTCTTCGTGACATGAAAAACACAGATAAGCACAACTAATTCATGCTTCTGGCCATGTCGAATCCACTCTAGTAGACATGTAGAGAATATGTTGGCAAATGCCTCTGTCATATGTTTGTAGGTAATTCTTTTGTCACAGATAATGTTTGAGGGTAACTATAGTTTACATTTTAACTTTCAAAAGAATTTTGGTTGATATTTTACTTTAAATAAAATTTGGTTAATTTTTCTCGGTGGTATTTTTTTCTGACAAGTACATGGTGCTACAGACTTCTTTTGGTAATATGGTTGTGAGCCGGCGCAAGGATGAATTTGAGAGATTGCAGCAGGAGAGAGAGGAGCATACTGCAAGGCTGCGAGCAATGCGAAAGCAGGAGATAGAGAGGAAGAGGAAGATTGCGTATTATCTGCAAGAGGAGGAGAAAAGGCTTATCAAGTTGAAAGAAGAGGAGGAAGCTCGTAAACATGAAGGTATATGTTCTTCTTTCTTGGTTATCATTGTTTTGCTGTCTGCTTGTTTGTGTGTACGTGTGAGAGAGAGAGATAGTGAGGAGCGTTGAAACTCTTCTTGCTGAGGGTGAATGCCAAAACTCCCAAGTGAATTCCAAAAACTGCTTTACTGGACCTTAATTCTGGATCCAACGGTCCAAAGATGGAAATCATTGTAATATTCTGAACGATTCATGAACATCACAACAAATATGATTAAGACATTTATGGCTCCTACTAAATAGGGAGCTATGAAGTGGCTACAGAATAGGAGTTTGATCCATATTTCACATATTTCAGCAATTTTGGCATTATTTCTATTTTATTTTCTATGTTTTTATGTATGGATTCTACCTATTTCTACGCATACAGTTCACATATATAACATACATCACCGTCAAGAGGCAATTTGTCATATTATCATGAGAGAAAGAGGGAGAGCGGGAGTTGCCTTTGCTTATCATTTATTTTGTTCCACCTACAGAGGAAGAGAGGAGAAAGAAAGAAGAAGCAGCGCGTAAGGCCAAGCTTGATGAGATCGCTGCCAAGCAGCGGCAGCGTGAGCTTGAGATTGAGGAGAGGGACCGGCAACAGAGAGAAGCCCTTACCCGAAGCACCAGCAGACCCTCATCCTCCACTGTGCCACCATTTGCTGCTAGTGCCCCTGAGGACCCCCCACCCGCTCGTGGGCCTACTGAGCCCCCCGCAAAGCCCGCTGAGCCCAGTGCAGGCAGGTATGTCCTCCCTCGGTTCCGCCGTGAGCCAGTGGCAACCACCCCTTCAACGGCAGCCCCTGAGCCCGACAGGTGGGGGTCCAGAAACGATGATAGGAGGCCGCCTGGTTCCTCATTTAGCAGTTCTCGGCCCACTGATAGGTACCGCCCTCCTCGATCCAATTATTGAGAAGGGTGTGGATTGGTGGCTGCCTTGCTGGGTGGCGTAATGAGCTGTGGCCACTTGTATGGTCATGATTCATTGGGGGGACCAAATGGGTGGTGGTGATGCATCCACTTGGTGGGCGGTCTCAGTCTCGGTTTCGTGATTGGATGGTGGGATGGATGTCCTTGGATTTATTGCTTGATTTTACTCGGTAATTTTTTTCACCTCTTTTGACTTTTGAGATGTGAGAGTATAAGACTCGTTTGAGGTAATAGAGGAAATAGATAGGAGTTTTGTAATGTAAGGAACTAAAGATGGAAATATTGAGTAAAATTGATGCTGAGCTGTTCCTTGTGGTGAGTGGATTTTGTCCGAGGCTAAGGAAGTTGGGGTGCATTGGATGCTCTCAATGTTGCAAGAAAATAGTAGATAATTTTGAACTTATTTGGAGATGCATTTATCGATGATCATTACTACTACTATTACTACTACTACCGGTGGTAACATTATTTTCATGTGTTATAGATCTAATTGATTTGAATAATTTTGGAGTCTAAACTTTTAGTGCACACGTTTAAAATTTCATGATGATTTGATTTCTAGAAAAAAAATTAAAATTCATAAAGTGATCTGAATGAAGGAATGCAGTATTGATATCAAGCTGTTCTAACTCCAAATCAAACAATACAACCATGGTTAGTAAAATCCGAATAAAAGTATGTTTCATAACTGGAGAGAAAATTTCATTATAATCAACACTTTCTTTCTGTGTATTTTTTTTTGCAACCAAACATGCTTTAAATCGATCACTACTAGTTTTAGGTGACCCATCTTTTTTTTTATAAACCCATTTACAATCAATGACTCTCTTGTCTTTAGACAACTTCACGAGATCTTAAGTAGGATTTTTTTAAAGAGATACTATTTCTTTATTCATGACTTCACACCATCTCATGCTGTTACTATCTTGTATAGCTTTTTTAAAGTGGATGACTCTTGGCTTGTGGTAGTCAATTCATAAGCATCATGTCCTCAAAACGGTATCACACAATTGGGTTTTTTATTCTCTTTTCCTTTCCAAATTGAGGCTCTTCTTCAAGTGGAGTAGATTCAATGACCTTTTCATGGTTAACGTCTTCTTCCATTTTATCACAGGGAATTTTTGATATATAATTTGGAGTATTTTCTAGAATTGTCAACTCCACTTCAACTGCATCATTACAGCCGCAATTTTTTTTTCTGCACTACTTTGAATGTGCTTTAACATGACAGATTCATCAAACTTAACTTCACAACTGACAATGAACTTAGGCAACTTAGGATCTAGGCACTACATTCTATATCCTTTAACCTCATTCGCATAACCAAGGAAAATACACTTTTTTGACCTGTTGACGAGGTACCATGCTATATTGATTGCCTCAGCCCAAAAGCCTTTTGACAAACCAGCATCACTCAACATACTGCGGGCCTTCTCTAGAAGTGTCATGTTCATGCGCTCAACAACTCCATTCTGTTGCGGCGTCTTCGGAGTGGTGAAGTGACTAACAATTCTTTCGCTCTTTAAAAATTCACAAACTCCGCTGAAGTGTACTCTCCACCATTATCAGACCTCAAGCACTTGACCTTCTTTCCAGTTTGTCTTTCGACCATTGCTTTCCACTGCATGAATGTGTTATATACATCTGTCTTTTTCTTCAACGTGTAAATCCACACCTTCTTAGAGAAATCATCTATGAAGGAAACAAAGTATAGATATCTATCTTTTGAGACAACCAATGTAGAGCCCAAAACATCTGAATGAATATATTTAAGAATATCTTTTGTGGTATGTTCTGGCATGTAAAACTGCACCCTACACTGCTTACCATAAACACAGTGCTCACAGAAGTCCAACTTATACTTCTTTACACCATTGATCAATTTGCGTTTGCTAAGTTCCTCCAAACCTTTTCTCACCCATGTAGTCCAATTGCATATGCCACAACTAAGTTAAGTCAAAATCACCATCATCAGATACATAAATTGTTGCTCTATCTGTGATAGTATTATCAAGCAGCACATATAAATTCTGTCTGATCTTCTTGCCTTTTATCACAACCAAAACACCTTTAAGAATCTTCAGAATTCCACCTTCTCTAATAAATTTACAGCCATTGGAGTCTAATGTACCCAGAGAAATAAGATTTTTCTTCAAATCTGGAACGTGTCTAACATCAGCAAAGGTTCTAACAACTCCATTATACATCTTGATAGCAATTGTCTCAACACCAATGCTCTTGCAAGTTGCATCATTCCCCATCAAAATTGATCCACCATCAATGCTCTTGTATGTGGTGAACCAATCCCGATGAGGGCACATATGATGGAGCATCCTGAATTAAGAACCCATGAGTTATTAGAGTTTTCACAATTTGTCGAATGTTCTACTTACCAAGCTTCCATCAACTATATTGGCTGCGTCAGAAGCTCGTCTTTCTTTCCCTTTGAGTTTTTAACAATTATTTTTAACATGCCATTTTTTCTTGCAGTAATTACAATAAATATTACTTTTTCTTGATCTGGATTTGGATCTAGACTAGCCCTGTTTTTCATTTCTCTTTTCACTTCTCTCAACAGATCTCCCTCTGGCCACTGAACCATCTGCATGTGGCTAAGCATTATCCTGTATCTTTTGAGTCCAAAAAATAGTGCATCTTGCAAAACATTATCTAGACCATTTATTTTCAAGATTTTCATATGTTTATAGATCTACTTGGTTTTAATCATTTTTAGAGTTTAAACTTTTATAATTAGATATGAAAATAGATTTTCGGACAATGTTAC